AACCAAGGATACGGACCAGGACCTCAGAAACAAGAATACGGACCAGGACCTCAGAACCAAGGATACGGACCAGAACCTCAAAACCAAGGATACGGACCAGGACCTCAGAACCAGGGACACGGACCAGGACCCGCATACAATCTCGCTCAGCAGACGGAAGCATACGGCGACAAATACAACCTCCGCCGCCGCGGTGACCCACGTGACCAGCGCCGCGGTGACCCACGTGACCAACGCCGCGGTGACCCACGTGACCAACGCCGAGGTGACCCACGTGACCTCCGCCGCGGTGACCCACGTGACCTCCGCCGCGACCCACGTGACCAGGGCTACTACGGACGAGGAGGAGGAGGAGCAGACGCGGCCGCTCCGCGGCGTAACTTCGACGACCCGCGCGGCGAGGAGGAGTTCAGGCGGAGGCGGCAGGAGCAGTTCGGACTGGTCAAGGTGCCCGGCAGCCCGCGCGACCGCGACGAGCGACGCCGCGACAGCAGGAGGAGGGTGGCGCCGGAGGAGGCGCGCGTGGAGGACGCCGGCGAGGCGGAGGGTAACGCGACGGCGGTGAACGGCACGGCGGCGGAGGATGCGACGCTCGAGGACGAGGGAGATAACGAGTACGACGACTACTCCAGCGACTACGACTACCCGGACTACGAATACTCCGACTCGGACTACCGGCGGCAAGACCGTCGCTCCGCGTTCGATCCTCGCGACGACCGCTACGGACGCGACCAGAACGGACCGCGTGACCAGCAGTACGGCGGACCACGTGACCAGCAGTACGGCGGACCACGTGACCAGCAGTACGGCGCACCACGTGACCAGCAGTACGGCGGACCACGTGACCAGCAGTACGGTGGACCACGTGACCAGCAGTACGGTGGACCACGTGACCAGCAGTACGGCGGGCAAGGTCAACAATATGGCGGCCAAGGTCAGCAATATGGCGGCCAAGGTCAGCAATATGGCGGCCAGGATCAACAATATGGCGGCCAAGGTCAACAATATGGCGGACAGGGTCAGCAATATGGCGGCCAGGGTCAGCAATATGGCGGCCAAGGTCAGCTAGGCGAGGGCGTGAGATTCGCGGGCGCGAACGCGCCCAACCCTTACAGAATCAACGAGCAGCAGCAGCAGCAGCAGCAGCAGCAGCAGCAGGGCCGCAGCGACTACTACGCAGCCGCGAACAGACGAGCGACGGTGCAGAACAACCTCTACGGCTCGCAGTCGGCCGCCGCCAAGACGCCGACGAAGTCGAAAATCCGACGCATTCCGAACCTCTACAATCTCTACTCGAACCACGAGGCGCGCTCGTAGACTACGGACCCGCCAGGGGGCGCCACCGCGACGACGATCGCCCCCGCTAGGTGGGAGGCGGCGTCACCGCGCGAACGCGTTCGAGGGGGTGGGGTTCTTCCGTGTTTTGCGGTTGTTTCTTTTTTGTCCACTTTGCTTTCCCGGGGGGAGGGAGGGAGGGAGCGGGTTGGGGGAGTGCGCGGCGGCTGTGAGGGAAAGGAACCGGGGAGAGATTTGTTGAGG